CTCAACGGCTCGCCTCTATTTATAAAAGGCTTCAGTTTTTACTCTCTATCGGCCCCAGCGTACGTTGGAAGGAAATTGGAGTCGGCGGTTGTTGAAATGACCTTTTTGCCCTCGGACCGTTTTGAGGTCTTTCGCGGCGAGAAGGGTGGCAATTGCTGTAATATGGGGCGAATTTTGGGGGGGATTGGGATTTTACCTTTTATAGCTGATGTCGTTTTCTATTGGTATTTTGAATAGAGGGAGACCGTTACCATTCTGCTGCGTTGGGGCCCACATCAACCCCGTGTTAACGGGTGTCGGCGTGTTGGAGTCCGTTGGATGGAGGAAACGGGCGAACGGGAGCCGTTAAGATCCGTTTGTGAGTTGAGATCCGAATTCGGTTATGAAGTTGGAAATATATACGGAAATATTTCGGGATGATTTTTTTATGGGAAACAAAATTAGATTGGGAAATTTATAAGTTAGATGCCTTAAATTTTGCTTTAGCTGCTAAATTTAGATTTCAATTTAAGTAATTAAATTTGAAAATTGAAGTGTTGCAAGCGGATTGGGTTTTATGTTGGTCAATGTTAAGACAATGTTGGCCCAAGCTAGATTGTCAACCCAACACCAGGCCCTAGCATATTATACTCAATGAACAAACTTCTTCTCCGTCGAAATACAAAAATACACTTTTTTGGATGGGGAATTATCGTAAAATAGAGAATTATCGTAAAAAATTGGCCTCTACCACCCTGGATCAACAGCTACAATTTGACTATATAATGCTGCGTTTTTCTTCTCTCCCTTTATTAAAGCTCCTAAACATGGTAGAATAAAGGAAAAGATGCTCTGAGGCCCCTTTCTTATAAAGGGAATTTGTCCAACGGGTACATGAGATTAAACTTGCTCCCCGAAACTCACAGGAGTATATAAGTATAAATTGGTTCTCCCCGCTCCAACGCTTTATGAGTTTAAACTGTGTGGACTCTAGTTAACATATGAGTATAAACTGTGTTCACGTTGGTCAACGCGTGATGAGGGAGATCGACGCGAGTCGACGCCATTCAACGTGTGATGATGAAAGCCAATAATGGTCAATGCGAGTCCAACGCCGTTAAACGCAAATCGACGCCGGTCAACGCGTCGATAGTCTCGCCAAAACAAGACTCAGGATTATTCTCAATTCCGAATTAACCCCAGGGAGTTCAATCGTGATTCAGATGTGAATTCCCAACGAAGATGATCAGTTCAACATCGATTCAACGACACGAGTTAATTCTCATATCAACACGCCAGTCTAAGCCCGAGATTTCGACAACGGTCAGACGATAAACGCAGCACCGGAAAAAAATTAGCTATTCGACAAAATACTGAATGGACTGAAAGCTAAATAAATCAAAGAACTAAAAGCTAAGCATATCTTATCCAAAGTATTCCAGGCTCCTCTATAAAAGAATGAGACCGAAACACTTTGGAGGGAGTATCTGTAGAAGTCAAAAATTGCCTATAGGTCCCAAACATAGCTCGAGACGATGAGCCATCGAAACAACAAAGCGGCGAATTGCTGATGACATTGCAACAAGCTTGTACGCTCATCAGCCAGCTCCAAGTGGCTCGCGCACTCGTCAGCTATCTCCAAGCTAACGAAACGCATAAAGTGAATCAGTAAAGCGGACAAGTCAACGAAACAACAAAATACGCGTAACGACAAAACAAGTCCAACCCGAACGAACCGGAAAAGCCCCTAGCAGCCGAGTCGCGTCAAAACGATTCGGCCAAAGCCAGTGGCTCAGCCCAAGGCCAAGCCACCAAATGGTGGCTCCCACT